AATGTGCTGTTGTGCCGAGTAAAACAGAAAGCTGCGGTCTGCAGAGGAAGATGGGCGCTGCCCACGGAGGAAGGAGCCGGCGAGACGCAGCCGGACGGCCTCCTTCGGAGGACAGGGAGGCAGGAGAGTCCTCGCGCCCTGACGTGCAGATGCGCTGATGCATGTTCTCTGTCCCTAAGTAGGAGCCCTGTTTGTAGATAGTTACTCAGAGTTTATGGGCGGAGGAGACCCAACCCGAGTCACGCTGCCAGGCCTCACGGTGTCTCCACATCCCCACTCTTAGGTCGCTTGAAAGTCCAGTGGGGCCCTGGCCAGTTTGGCTCAGCGGTTAGAGCGTCGGCCTGCGGTCCGGAGAGACCCGGGTTCGGTTCCCGCTAAGGGCATGTACCTCGGTTGCAGTTTGTCCCCAGCCCTGGTTGGTCGCGTGGGTGGCAGCCACTCGATGTGTCCCTTCACGTCGATGTTTCCCTCTCTCTCTCCCTTCCTCTCTCTCCCTCCCGCTCTACCTGAACAAAAAATGGAAAAATGTCCTCGGGTGAGGATAAAAAAAAAAAAAGAAAAGTCCAGTGGGGTTGAGTCTTCTCGCAACGTACAGGAAGCGATGAAGGCGAAGTACAAAGTGTTTCAACTAGACTTTCCGTCAGAAGACCAACTGGTGGAATGTCAGTGTCATAGCCGCCCTGGTAGCCGGCTCCGTAGCGTCCCTAACCCGCCCGTGGGGAGTCTGCTGGGGGTGCGGCGGGTTCCCGGGATTCTGTGGGCGCCGTCCTTTCTGAACCTTCCTCGTTCTGTAGCAGGCCAGCTCGCTCTCTAAAGCAAAGCTTGGGCGCCGTCTCCTCCCCGAGGTGGTGCTGCCCACGGCCCCCTTCCTGTGCCCGCTCCCCCTCCAGCCTGCTGGACCCACTCCGAGAGGGCACCGCTCCCCACCTGTGGGTCTCCAGGGCCCACTGGGAAAGCTCAGTGAGGGGAGAGGCAGGGGAGGGACGGAGAGGAAGCAGGCGGGGAAGGATGGACGAGCCGGCCAGTGACGGCCGAGGAGCCGGGAGGAGTCTCTCCGAAGGACTTTCCAGCTGGGGAGGCAGAGGTGGCTCGGAAGCCAGGCTGGCGATCACAGTTTCTGTCACTGTTTTCCTGCCATCTGCTTTTTTGTTTGTTTTTTCTTCATTCTTCTAAGCAAGCAGCGTTATTTCTGGAACATCCGGTGTTCATTTACCGGGAAATAAGAAAAATGCTTGTTTTTCTCTGTTTCAGTATTGAATTTTCTCTGCAAGACCTTGGACAGGTTATCAACACTGTACGTTTTACTGTTGTTCACTAAATGATCTCATGATGCTCTTAAGCTAAAAATAGTGACCAGTGATATTGGCAGTTATGTAGACAGTGTGAAGTGTCTGGCTAGGCTGAGTTAGTTCTTTTTAACCAACGTATTTTATTGAAAATCTGAGCGTGAACCTCATGCGGATTGTAGATTTTGTCTGGCTAAATCCTTTTTACTTATCATTAAACGTTCCTTGTTTAAATGGAGAAGACAGAGGAGGGTCATAGGGTGCCCAGCTTTCTCGTTTGCAGCAGAAGGGTCTGGAAGAGGCTGGGAGCGGAAGTCGCGCGGGTAGACGAAGAAGGAGGTGGCGGAGGGATGGCCGCTGGTCTGGGCGGAGACACCAGCGCGGGGAGAAAGCCGCGGGTCTGAGCAGCTGGGTCTGGTCTGGGTGAGAAGAGGGGGCGCCTCAGGCTCAGTGAGCTGACCGCGGGGCCTGGACAGGGGTGCCCTCGCCCGCCGAGCCCGAGGGAGGCGCTTCCTGGTGCCGCAGCGACGTCCAGGCGGGTAGGGGTGAGGACGACGTCCGTCACGGGACAGTGTCCATCCGTGGGACGGTCTTGGTGGTTCTCTGCTGCTGATGGTTCTGGAGACTTCCCTGAAGGACAGGGAAACGCTGAGTGAGAGCTTTAGAAAGTGCCGCCGACGTTCTAACCCAACATTCGTGAACGGTGTCGGTTTAATTCGGAATATTCTTAAGGAAGCTTTGTAAGCGAGTTGTGTACACAGCACAGGGCCCCTCAAAAAGCTGCTTCATGTAAACAAGGAAACAGCAACATAGAAATCATCGGGTGCGGCCTCTCGCATACTTGGGAGTTGAAGTAAGTTGATCAACGCTTTTTATTCATCAAGCAGCCTAGAGAGTTGCATCTGTGGTTGCTGGTCTTCACTGACTGGAACGGGCCTGGATGAGTTCCCTGGAGTCCATGCGGGGCTGAGCCGGCGGACACCTGCACGTCCCTAACACTCTGCCCCAAGAATGTGTACACGAGGGCGTCCCCGTATCCGGCACAAAGTATGTCTGGAGGTAAATGTGTCCCCACCCACATTTTGTAGTCCTCCTAATTACGCAACAAAAGCCAAGTGAGATGAGAATACTTTGAGATGTAGGAAGAGTCACATACTGAATCCAGTGCTCACCTGTGCCATGTATTAAACTTCGCTCAGCACGGTGTTTCCTCCAACACGGTTGGCAGCGTTGCTTTCCTCCCTCAAGTGCTTCCGGACGTTGCACGTTCTCATCACTGTGGTGTCCGCCACCACCTTGCTTCAGGTCGCCACGTGAGATCGGATCTTTAAGCTTCGGGTGTTTCATGTTCGTTTCAAAGTATCATCGAGCAGGACCCCTGCTCACTTATGCTTCTGGGGGGACACTGGGGACTTGCTCCTCGAAGACACGGGTCAGACAGTGTCCCGTGTGCCACGGACCCTGCGGGACCTGTGACGTCCGTGGATTCGCCCAGTTTTCAGCCGTGGTGTAGGCGTGACGTCACCTTCCTTTGGGAAACCCCCCCCCGTCAGCCACTGGTGACACGTGTGGAGGCGGACACGGCCCTCGTGTCGCACAAGCTCCGAAGCCCCCGAACAGGCTGTGTTCGCGTGTTAGACCCACTCCGGGTGCTCATGTCCTGGACTCGGGGAGATGGGGCCCATCTGAGAGGCTGAGTCCCTGGTCTCCCAGGGCGGGGGTGGGGGTGGGGGAGAAGCTGTGCCGACCGCCCGTCCTTCTTACTCCACTGAGACTTGTGTTAGTGACCGGAGGCTGGGCTGTCACCGCCCGTGGGCGACGGACTGGACGGTGATGGGCTGGGCCCGTGACGACGCGACGCTCCTTTGCAGTGCTTCTGTGCCAGCCTGTGTGCGCTGGTATCTGTACAAATACACGGACCAGAATATAGGAGTATTTTTTCACTTTATTGACAAGTATTCTTTAATTTCCATGTGACTTACGATTTCATAATCCTCTGGACACGTTATAAATAATTCACTTTATTTTTGCTTTACATGCAAAAACAAATGTTTCTGTGCCGCTTTTTAAACTTTTCCTTCGGCGTCTGAACCGAACAGCTTTGCTCTGATTCTGTGATAAAGGCTTTCACAGCCGGACCTTACCCCTGCCGCCTTCCCACCTGTTCTGTGAAAGCCGAGCTCCAACCACAGCAGAGCGCCGTCTGCAGGACGTGAGGTGGTGCGGACCAGACGCAGTTTTGAGAGACCCTGACCCATGAACTAAAAGCCAAGCTCAGTGTGGCCCCATCGGGAGCGGCCCCGCAGCGGGACGGCCGCAGTGTGCCAGGCCCAGCCTGCGGCCCAGCCTGGGGGTGGGCCTGTGACCTCCGTGCCGGCCCGCCCTCGCCCCTGGAAGCTCCCCCACCTCCGGCCGGCCTGCCCCCAGACAGCCCCCCTCCGGGTCAGACTGAGCAGGCAGGCCCGAGCGCCAGACTCCGTCCGTCTGCTTGTCGGGGCGCTGGGATCTTGGGTTCCCTGTCCAATTGGCTGAAGGAACACAGACAGGTCAGGTGGCCCCTGACCAGGCCGAGGCCTCTCGCCCTCATGTTCTCCGGCTGGAAGGTGCCGGCTCCCGGCCCCCTTCCCTCGGGTCACTTTACGAAGGCCTGTGCTGCTGTCCCTGCCCTGCTGCAGGAGCACAGGGGACCTGCCCTCTCCGTGCTGCCGCCGCCGCTGCCCTGTCCAGCCCGCGGGTGGGTGGACGAGCCGCTCAGGGTCATGCTGGTGAAGTGCCACGAACCCCGTTTAGGCCGCCGGCTCCCACCGCCCTGCGGGGAGGTGGAGACACCCCCAGAGACACGAGTCCCTAGGGCGGCCCAGAGTGCAGAGCCAGGCAGGTTCCCTCCTCGCCCCGCCCCAGACCCTCCCTTGCCCGCCCCCCCCCACCAGTTTCAGGGGGACGTTTCTCAGGCATTAGTCTTCTCCATGGCACACGCACAGGTCGCCCCACAAACCTCACCACCACCAGTTTCCTCGGGATGGGTTTTTTATGGTAGAAACGAATGACGGAGAAATCAGCAATTTGATCATTTAACAGGTGCTAGTACACTGGCCAGGAAGGGTCAGTCCAAGTTCTGGGAAGACCTAGCGTATCCCGGAGACCTGCTCACGAGGAAAAGGTCTGGCTCCTGCTGTGGACACACCTGTGTGCAAATTCAGTCCCGTGGGTGCCGGGCTGATGAGGTCACGTCTGATACACAGTCTGTGCATCGCGTTGTGTGCCCGCCACCCCGGGTCAAGTCTCCCAGCACATGTGTTTGACCCCCTTTGCCCTTTACTCCCCCTCCCCTCGGTAACCCCCACACTGTTGTCTGTGTCTGTGAGTTGTCGGTTGCTGTTTGGTTCCTCTGTTGTTTTCAGTTCTCTGTCCCACGTGAGTGAAATCAGATGGTTCTTGACTTTCTGTCCGACGACTTCGCTTAGCATGTCTTCTGAGTCCAGCCCTGCAGTTAGCCAGGGCAGTGTCTCGGGTGGGAAAGACCCCTGCTGGTCATGAATGCTCACCAGCGAGCGAGTCCCCAGAATACTCACCGTGGTGACGTCGCCGTCACGTGTGTTCTGGTCCGGTGCATACTGAGCCGGAGAGGCCCCCGTGCACCTGGCTGCCCAGGGCCTGCGCCCCTGCGCCCGAGGCCGGGGGTGTCTGCAGCGCCACCCGTTTCTGTCTCCGCAGCTACGGCAGCTGGTGAACGTGTGCATCAACCCGGACCCGGAGAAGCGGCCGGATGTCACCTACGTGTACGACGTGGCCAAGAGGGTGCACGCCAGCACCGCCAGCGCCTGAGCCCAGGGGCGTGGGCCCGCCGTAGGCCCCAGTGCTGTGCGCAGACCACACCCCGGCTCCGTCTGGGGTGAGATGGACACGTCAGAGCTCCCGCTTCGAACCCTTAACCAGTTTTCAGATGAGCTTCATGCTGTCCCGATCGGGGTCGCCTTCTCGCAAACCCAAGGACTCTGGGGATCACGTCGCGTGTTAGGACAGGAAGTGGACGTGATGGTCTTTCGTGGCTAAAGGTTTGAGACTTCACGGGCGTTTTCTGCTGATACGTTGTGTTCAGATCGACTCTCAGTGCCAAACAGTGTCGGTGTCCCCGGCGCTCATCAGGACAGACGGACGCCCGGGCGAGGGGTCGGAGCGGACGGGTGTGCGCGGACCTTTGAGGCGAACACAGTTGTGAACGTCTGTGCTTGTTTGATTTTTAAAAGTTTGAAGTAGGCGTTTTAGTTCTTAGCATTGTAGCTTCCCAACATGATTCTTAAGAGAACCTTCGACATAAACTATTTGAGAAGCATTTAAAATCCTTCGTTTAAACATTCAAAATGCAACTCTTAAATGTGAACACATTGGGGGACGAGATGTGAGTCAGACACTGAAGAGGTTTCGCTTTGTTGTCCAATCTCTGATATTCTCTCAGCATTAAAATGGTATAAATGAACCCATTTAAGAAGTGGTTAAGGATCTGTGTGGCTGTCGTGACGGTCATTTTGAAGGTTGCACATTACCCAAGGCTTCTTTGTGTTTTATTATTGTTTGTACATTTGAAAAATATCCTTTAAATAATCCTGCAGTACTTTATTTCCACTTCTTTGTCCATTTACATGCCCCTCGTAACTGTACACTGTGTGAGCATGTGTTCTTATCCAGCCCAACTGAAGTTCTGATCGGTCCTCTTCAGAACCCTTTTATATTCTTCCCGTAACTTTCTTATTTATATTCTATGTACCTGTTACCCACGGATGTTTCGGATTTCCTGACAACAGTAAGCCTTCGACAGTGTTTGGGGTCCCCACTGTCTCCGCGGTGGAGGGCAGTTCGCCTGAGCCCCTCCCACGGGCCGCCCGCTGCCGTGCGGCGTGTTGCTGCGCAGGGCGGGTGTGCCGCACCCGGGGCGTCGCTCCAGTGCGGTTCAGTCTCCAGGTTGTGATCTCAGAATAAGTGTGAAGGGGTGGAAGCTGACGTGGCCGTGGCCAGAGTTCTGACGAGGTGAGCATTTCTGTGGAGAAGCTAAGTACGTGCTGCCGTGGACGGAGTGGACAGACGGCGGCTTCTGAGGAAGGAGGCGGCAGAGTCTCGTGGCTGCCACGGGAGATGTCCTCTCCCCGAGTGTCCACGTGGGAGTGGCGACCGGTTCCTCACAGAACTGAGGCCACGGGCCAGAGTCACCGTTGAGGACGCTGTCCCACCCTGCCAAGGTGACGCCTCGTCTCTGGAGAACACCTCCCTTCAGCCGGTGCAACTGCTGGTTTTGTTTTTTTCATGTAAGTATTTTTCTTACAATCATTTGAATCCACGCAAGTCATCTGTTAACGTAAAACAGGTATAAAGGACACAGAAGTATAAAGTCTTCCTTTCCCCCAAACCGAACCGGAGCCGGTGTCCTCCGGTGGGGCCTGAGGGCTCTGTCTTGGGGTAGGCTCCGAAAGCCCGGCGGCCCTGTGTCCTGGGCTGGAGCCTGTCCTGCTCAGGTCCCGGGACTCACAAATCGCACGGTCACTTGGCGTCCGTAGGCCTGTCTCCAGAAGGGGAGCAGGCTGCTTTGTTGCCCACAAACAGCCTGTCATGTAACGTGGTCGAGGTGAAGTGTTCTTCACTTGGGATGGATACGCTCCTTTTTCTTGCAATCTTTAAAAAATTTGTGGATCTTAAATTCACTGGCTCGGCCCCCTCACGGAGACTTGTAGGCAAAGGTGGGAGCTGTTCCCCGGGGGCTCTGCCGGAAGGCACCGGTGGCGGAGACGGGGCGGTCAAGGGAATGCAGCCTTACTCTCCACTGGTGGAAACTGTCATGTTCATACTGTCTCCTGAAGAAACCACTGTGTAAAAAACAAATTTTAATTTTGACTGGGATCATGTCAAAGAATTATGAAGGTGATTAGAAGTTTTAATTGTTATCACACATAAAATGTTGTCTTTATATATTTCTGTTTATAAGTGAATTTTGTATTAAGGAAAACATTTGGATTGATTTGAGGAACAATAAAATGAAAGGTACGTCTGATTCTAACCCTTATTTAGACACGGGAGCCAGCCCCCCGGGGCAGAGGCGGGTGGCGTTGTCCTGTGTGCGGGGCCCAGGGGCGGAGGCTGCGGCGTCCCTGTGGGAACAGGCACAGCGAGTGTGGGCACGTGGGGGGTCCTCCCCCGTGTCAGTGTACTCCCCGTGTTGCTGTTGACACGTACACGGTATTTATTTTAACCGAACCTTCTTCATATGAAATGTTCTTTTCCCTTGAAGATGAATGTATCATGTTCATAACCCGCGAGCGCGTACTGACCCCGCCCCCTGTCCGAACAGCACTGTGCACAGACGCCTCCTGTGACCGCTTTCGTTGTACGCTTCGAATGCACACACTGAGGAACCGGATGTTAGCTTTGAGAATTGTATAATATCCTAATATAAATAAAAATATGAAATTAAACAAGCACAATAAACTTTTTACGTATTTGTGATGTTTTCCCCTAACGTCTACCATTATTTATTTTACTGAATATCCATCCTACTTACAAAAATAGCTCTTGCTCACTTCATCACTATTGCTTTGGAGACACCCAAGATTGACCCCGTCCAGGGTGACCACCGTCCACCCCATCCAGGTGACCACCATCCTCCCCGTCCAGGGTGACCACCATCCACCCCGTCCAGGGTGACCACCATCCTCCCCATCCAGGGGGACCACCATCCTCCCCGTCCAGGGGGACCACCATCCTCCCCGTTCAGGGGGACCACCATCCACCCCGTCCAGGGGGACCACCATCCACCCCGTCCAGGGGGACCACCATCCTCCCCGTCCAGGGGGACCACCATCCTCCCCGTCCAGGGGGACCACCATCCTCCCCGTCCAGGGGACCACCATCCACCCCATCCAGGGTGACCATTATCCAGGTGTCCACCATCCACCCCATCCAGGGTGACCACCATCCACCCCATTCAGGGGGACCACCATCCTCCCTGTCCAGGTGACCACCATCCACCCCATCCAGGGTGACCACCATCCACCCCATTCAGGGGGACCACCATCCTCCCTGTCCAGGTGACCACCATCCACCCCATCCAGGTGACCACCATCCACCCCGTCCAGGGTGACCACCATCCTCCCCATCCAGGTGACCACCATCCACCCCGTCCAGGGTGACCACCATCGACCCCGTCCAGGGGGACCACCATCCACCCCATCCAGGGGGACCACCATCCTCCCCGTCCAGGGTGACCACCATCCTCCCCTTCCAGGGGGACCACCATCCTCCCCATCCAGGGGGACCACCATCCTCCCCGTCCAGGGGGACCACCATCCTCCCCGTTCAGGGGGACCACCATCCACCCCGTCCAGGGGGACCACCATCCACCCCGTCCAGGGGGACCACCATCCTCCCCGTCCAGGGGGACCACCATCCTCCCCGTCCAGGGGACCACCATCCACCCCGTCCAGGGGGACCACCATCCTCCCCGTCCAGGGGACCACCATCCACCCCGTCCAGGGGGACCACCATCCTCCCCGTCCAGGGGGACCACCATCCTCCCCGTCCAGGGGACCACCATCCACCCCGTCCAGGGTGACCATTATCCAGGTGTCCACCATCCACCCCATTCAGGGGGACCACCATCCTCCCTGTCCAGGTGACCACCATCCTCCCTGTCCAGGTGACCACCATCCACCCCATCCAGGGTGACCACCATCCACCCCATTCAGGGGGACCACCATCCTCCCTGTCCAGGTGACCACCATCCACCCCATCCAGGGTGACCACCATCCACCCCATTCAGGGGGACCACCATCCTCCCTGTCCAGGTGACCACCATCCTCCCCATCCAGGTGACCACCATCCACCCCGTCCAGGGTGACCACCATCCTCCCCATCCAGGTGACCACCATCCACCCCGTCCAGGGGACCATGGGCTCTGGCCGGCCCGGGAGGTGGCTCTTGCACACGCATTACACTAGAGCACACCCTCACATGTCCCCTTCAGTACGTCCTCTTCCTTGACTGGGAAACGTTCTCTCAAATTATAAAAAGCCTAAAATGTAGGCGACAAATTGCTGTCTCTATAGTGTGCGGCCGACGACATTGCCGGCAGGTTGAAGGTCCTTTCACGTAAGAGCAGGTCGTGGCTGTGCCTGGGGATGTCGAGGTCCTAAGACCTTCACGGGCGACACCTGCCGGGCCGACGGTGGAGGGGTGCAGGGGCCTCACTCTGCAGGGTCCCCTCCAGACGTGGGCAAGAGCTGATGTCCTAGCCTGTGACTCCGTGAACGGCTTTAGGCTCAAGGTGCTGGACTAGCTACACATTTTTTTCAAATGTATGTTTGTTAAATAGAAAAGTCACTCCCCGGAATGTGTGCTGAGATGTGATGATTTTTTCAAATCAAGTCAATGAGCCCGGCTGGTGTGGCTCAGTGGTTGAGCGTCGACCCTGCACCAAGAGGTCGCTGGTTCGATTCCCGGTCGGGGCACGTGCCCAGGTTGTGGGTCCGATCCCCAGTGGGGGGCGTGCAGGAGGCGGCCAGTCGATGTTCTCTCTCATCCATGTTTCTATCTGTTTCTCTGTCTCCCTTCCTCTCTCTCTGAAATCAATAAAGAAAAAAATTTTTTTTAAATAAAACATGAAATCAAGTGAATGAGCACATAGTCGACTGAGGAGACGGCGAGAGCGGAGCCCGCCCCACAGGACTCCGCGTGGAGCCGGCCCGTGGCCGGCAGCGCAGACTCAGCCCATCGTGTTCCCGAGACAGATGCGAGGCTGTCAGTCAGGTTTCCCTTCGCTGGGACCTACCGCGGAGGGCGTTTCAGGTCTACCTGCCCACTTCCCGGTCCACTTCGGCCTCTCAAAGCCATTTAAATCCTTAAGAGCGAAAAACGGAGTCAGGGGACCTGAACGTCAGGGTTTGAAACCAGGGGTTTTCAACTATTTTCACGGTGAGGGTCACAGCGCACAGAAGTCACCTCCCCACTCCTCCGGAACCGTGATCCTGGGAGTAAACCCGTTCCTCTCGTCTTTCCTGTCCGGTGACACAAAGTCCCTGCCCGATGAGGACTAAACACAGCGCATTTGGTCAAGGACAGAGCGTGGCCCGCGCGAGCCAGTGCTTGCGACCGAGCGCTGCCGCTCAGTGCGAAGAACACGCGCGCGCCTTCCCTGGCGCCAGCTCCCTCCCCTTCTGCCTTGTTTTCTCCGTTTCGTCCCCCTGGGCCGGTTTCTCTGGGCTGTTTCTCACCTGGGGGCAGGAACTGCCTAAACAGCCTTTTCTTTGTGGCTGGAAGAAAACGTATCATTCTGGTAATGAAATTTTCTGCCATGATTATTCTTCAAGTGTGTTTTTATTGATTTTTTAGAGAGAGAGGAAGGGAGAGAGAGAGAAACATCGATGAGAAACACCCATCGGCCGCCTCCTGCACGCCCCCCACTGGGGATGGAGCCCGTACCCCGGGAATTGACCAGGAATTGAACCGGGACCTCTCAGTCCATGGACGATGCTCCATCCACTGAGCCACACGGGCTGGGCAATTCTGCCCTTATCGAATGACTGTTTCGGTGTAAGCTCCCTGACAGCAGGGACAATGTGTCATAATTACTGTTACACGTTCACATGCGTGAACTCGTTACCGTGTGTGTGTGCTCAATGTCCCCGTGAGCGTGGTGCCGCTGCCCCATTTAGCAGTTGGGAAAACTGAGGCCCAGACGGGAGAAAGGGTTTGCCCGAGGTTCCTGGGGGTCCGGCTTCCTTCCAGTTCTGCGCCGCCCGGCGCTGTCGCCTGTTGACTGCGAAGGGCTGAAGTGCAGGCGAGCGAAGACCGCGGCTTTGTTCTTGGTTGTTCTGCTCGGATTGGTCTGGGGACAGGGACACGCCCAGCAGCAGAGTGGAGGGAACCTGGTGGCTGAGCCACCCGGGTGAGGCGGGGACTCGGCCAGCAGCAGGGGCACCAGGGCGAAAGCCTAGTGATGGGAGATGCGTGTGCACGTTTAGTTCCTCCTCGCGGGACTCCCCACGTGCCCAGCCTGGTGCTGGACATGTTCTCTCTCCGAGTGTGTGAGTTGTCGTGACTAAGTCAATAAGCAGTTGTTAACATAAGTCCCACTTTAACAAGTTAAGACACATGGAGCTCAAATTATTGACTTGGTTGCAGCCTGGGAATGGGGGTGGGGTGGGGTGTAAAAATCTATTATATACTCAAAACTTTTTTTTTTCCATCCTCACCCAAGGACATTTTTGCATTTATCTTCACCTAGAGCGGGAGGGAGAGAGGGAGGGAGAGAGAGAGAGGAACATCGATGTGAGAGAGACACATCGAGTGGTCACCATCCACATGACCCCAACCGGGGCCGGGGACAAACTGCAACCGAGGTACGTGCCCTCAGCGGGAACCGAACCCGGGACTCTCTGGTCCACAGGCCGATGCTCTAACCGCTGAGCCAAACCAGCCAGGGCTCAAAAAACATTTCTTTGATGGGAAATTGAAAAAAAAAAATGTTAGGGAGACAGGATAAAAAGGGCCTTTGGGAAGAATATTGAGGTGTTGACGGGGTCCAAAGGTGTGTTTCGCTGAAAAGAGAAACCGCTCTCTTGCCTGGCAGGGCAGGCGGGCGTCCACTGGAGCCCCCTCTCCCACTAACCCCGTCAAGGCCGGTCCGAGTCGCTCCCGTTGCACACGTCACAGCCGTGTGGTTTCAGGGCCCACCGGCCCGGCTGAGGGGCTTCTCGGGCACCTCGTGAAGGCCTGGTCCACCGAGGCAACACAACACGCGCAGGGCGTGCTATCGGTACCGGGGCGCTGCCATGCAGAAACCCCACACGGGCTGCGTAGCCGGGTCTGGATCCCCCCTCGGGCTGCGCGTGTTCACATCCCCGAGAGGCTGTGCCCCGAGTTAAATCTCAGTGCCGGTCAGAAACAGGCCTTCGAAAGGATGTGCCGGCCTCATCACCGAGCTGCTAGTTCAAGGAGTTTCGGCGACGCGGATATTCTGCGTAAGTCTCGAGTGGGCGCCAGAGCCAGCGTTGGGGGTGCCCTGCTGAGTCTCCCCCACGACAATGAGGCAGTCATGGGATCAGTTTGTTGTAAGTCACACCAGTAGGTTATTTATTTATTTTTTTACTGTTTTGATGGGTTTGTCCAAACGCTTGGTATCAGAAAAGTTCGCATGGAAACAGCCATTCTCTGGAGCTGGGTGGCGTCAGGGCGGGAGCCCCAGCCCCTTGACGACAAAGCCGGGAGCAGCTTGGCTGGTGTTCTGTGAACCAGGCTGCTGAGCACAGTCTGTTCTGTGCGCGTGAACCCGCTTCCAGGTGAGGACCTCACGCCGGCTCGTACGTTCACAGGAATCAGATGGGAACCTTTGTTCCACAAAATGGGGCAATTATTTTGTCCTCCAATAGATTCCGCGTCCCCCGCGCTGGCACCGGCCAGGCGCGGTCCCTGCGGCGGCTT